ATATTACAAGCTGATAATAACCTTACAAAGACAATTTATTAAAGACAAGATTACAGTCCATTAAACAGTTAGTTATACTCTTAATAAGATTTTGGTATTCGTCTTAGGTCTGCATTAGAAACCCAGTTGGGTAGGCAAAATTTTAGAGGTACTCTGTAATAAGCAAAAGTAAGGAAATAACATAAGAAGTAAATAAGTTTAGTTAAGAACTTGAAATAAAAAGATTTCATTAAATAACATTTTGCTTCAATAATACTTGTAAGGTCGTTAAAGGTTTCCAATACACAAAACACTGTACGCTACAAAATTTTTGTTTGCTCACAATAGCAACCAACACAATGTTGCCACATTGAAGCCTGGAGAGAGATGCAACAAGAACAAAATAAATTAAAAAGTATACAGTAATAGAAACATAGAATTTGGGAGTAGAATATCCAATAAAAAAAATATATGTTGAAGTAAGGCTATTTGTTTAAAAGGGTTGTTGTGAACTAATTTGAGGGCCACTCACTGAATTCGCACACACACACACCAAGCCTCCAAATCCAAGCAAATCAAATAAATTGTTTGAAGTAAAATTGAATGCTGAATATTGAATAGTTGTTAGTTTCAAATGGCAAAATAGTACACAAACACGCCAATTAAAGAGGAAACAATAATAAAATTCATAATGACCGAGTGCAAAATATTGAAGAGGCGGTAGCATTTCAAACTGACGAAGAACTGCAATTTAAAGCTAAAACTAATCCAATTTTTATTGAACCCTTTTCAATTTCAATAGCTCAATGCCAAAATTATTGCCAACTATTTGGATTGCACTTAAATGCATTTTGTTGCTCAGACAATGCAGTGGCTCTAATAGTCTGAACTGTTCACGAGGAGTAGGGCAACTTTGCATAGTTCGTTTTTATATACTTCCTGTGTGGAAGTGGCAAACATGCCAAATACGCATTGTACTACAAATTAAATTAATTGCAACCGATGTGATAATTAATCGCCTAAATACTATGGTTAAATTATTACATTAAATAGTCGTAATAGTAATATTTTTTAGTTTTCTTTTATTTATGTTAATGCTTAAATTTTTTTAAGTTCAACCCAGCATGCCTTTCAATGCATTATCGTAGTTAATAAGAACGTTTAGTGTAGAATTTTATTCAAAAGCGTATAGTGACGGCGGAACCAAACTATACTGGCGCATTATATGGAAATATAGCAATATATCAATGTCGTGTATTGGAGCAAATGACCGCTAAAAATGTTCAATTCAATTCAATGCTACAAGTTTTAATAAACTGAAAGCTGAATTGTCTTAATAAGCGTTAAAAAATCACTGACTTAATAAAAGAAAAAATTAAAAGATGTTATGTTTTTATTGCCTATGAGGAAAATTTTTCCGTAGAAAAAAACTAATCAATATAGATATAGAGTTATATAATATATATAAATGATTAAGATGACGGAACTGGTGCAAACGAGGTGACTGACATGAGTAAAAATTGAGATACGCTAATGATGATGGCATCCAAGGCAGGTTAGAGTTGAAGAAGCGCGGAATCAGTCTTTGCTATAGCTAAGCCATAAATTAAGAGACAAAACTTTAATTGGTAATACGGATGAAAATATGGAGGGGCGTATGTGGCTTAAATTGTTTTTGTTTTTTAGAGGAGGCGATACACCTGCTAATAGCTTTGAAGTACATATCTCACAAACCACTTAAGCTAAATCATCCAGACTTGCTAGCATTTCCTCGTGCTATGTGATAATGTGTGAAATAAAATAATAACCACTCCCACTCCCCATAGAACGGTTATCGGTAGAACTGTGTAAAGTGCGATAACTCAATACATAAATTTGTCAAAGACATTAAATCCGAGATAGTTCGAAAAGATTTCATAGGAGACCGAAAAAATTGAAGGAACCGCCCGCCATTAGGTGATATCTCATACCTTGGTAAGTACTCGACCAGTTTTAAGCAAATTTGTTGCATAACATTACTCTGACCTTCTTAAACCACATTTTTAAATTCCATATGATTCTTTCCCTTAACAGTATACAAATCAAGCACCAATTAAGATATCTGCACAAATATCTATCAAATCTTAATATTGGATACTGTAGTTTAATGCAGAAAATCTGTAAAATCGATCCGTAAATTACCCCAATCGTACTACAAAAACAAACCGTAATAAACTTTTTTACTCCAACGAAAATTTTAAAACAAATTAATATCGAGAAACTTCACTTTCCGTTGGCCCCCAAAGTCACCTGACCTGACTACACCAGACTTTTTTTATGGGGTTATTTCAAAATAGAGGTGTACAAGACAAAACCCAAAAAGCAGTTCATTAAAACGATAATTGAGGTAATACCGACTACAACCCTTCAGGCCGCAATGAATAATTTTCTAATTAGATGTCGCATATGCGTGGATGAGCATGGAGGTCATTTACGGTCCATAATTTTTAAAAATAATTGATTATATCAAATTAAATTTGCTATACACTATAAAATAAATAAATGTAACGTATGGATTAAAAAAAGTTATTACGGTTTTCTTATGTAGCACGATTCGTGAGCCACCCTGTACATATATGTAATAATTTTCGTTATTATAGCATATTTTTCTGAATATGTCGATCAGTGTATGAGCTATATTCATAAAATTGCTGGAAACATGTTCAAGAGTTAACACAATCATCCCTGACCTTTACCTAATGTCCAACCGTTTATATTGGTCAACATGTATAATATTTTAATGAAATTAAGTTACATTTTCTTAAATTAATGTATTTTAGTACTGAATATGAATAAATTAGTCTAGACTTTGATCTTAATCGCATTTCCCTAATTCAATGGTTCCCGATCCTCTACTTGACTTTTTCCTCATGTACCCAATATAATAAATTTGCTTCCTTTGGTTGAGTTTAAACCACTTATATCTTATTTGAGGTTAATTTTTTACATGTAAATGATCAGGATCGGGTTGAATTGCGAGTGATTGTCTGTCTGTCTGTCCGTCCGTCTGTGTCTCCGTGTAAGCGATTATCTTTATGGAACTTTTTTTTAAAAGTGCGCATAACCCCGCCCCCTAAATGGTTTAATGTACATATCTTCCAAGCCACTGAAACTATATCAACTAAACTTGCTGAGAAAAAGTATTTTTAGCACAGTTAAAATAGTTATAATGAAATAATAACCACGTCCATTCTCCATATATATTGGTTATGTTGAAAACTACTTAAAGTAAGATAACTCAGTGAATAAATGCGCCACACATTTCACAATCAAAATTGTAGGGAAGCGCTTTATAGAAGCATTTATAAAAATTGGGCAGTGGGCCAGGCGCTGCACTCTTTAGCTGAAATCTTATATCTCAGAAAATAATTGAACGATTTTAAACAAATTTGGTGTGGGCGGTTACTTAAACATCCCATTATATGCTGTCAAATGGGTGAAATCCGATCCCAACATACATAACCAATTTTAAAATTCTATCTGATTTTTTCACTTTACAGATCAAAGTTATCAGAAGAAAACATTGCACATATAGTACCTTCAACGTACTTCCATTCACGCAACAATTTTTAAGAAGTGCAAAACTTAGGTGTAAGGTGATGTGCTTCTTAATTCTACGCAAAGCGTTGCACAAGGTGATGGCCTCCATTGTTAATGTGTCAATGACATATTTGACACATTTGCTTAATAAATAGTTCAATTATATCTTTATTGTTTACATAACGGGTATGTGCTAAGGATGCTATTAAAATAACTATTCGAACTGAGATTTGCCAATATTTCAAGTAATTTCATAAAATTTAAATATCAGGAATTTCAGTGATCGAACGTAAATGTTCGTGGCCACATTGAGTGTAACCCTTTTCTTAATTTGGACCATAAAAAATTTTATTTTATATTATAAATTCCGAAATTTTACCATTCTTCCTCTTCTTTTAATTCAAAAGATTATTTGTAACTGTAGATCATGATTTTTTTTATAATTTTATATAAATTCTAGACGCAAATCTAAATAGGCATGGACATAGATAACTTTTTCCTCGCTGCTATAATTGCCTGGTGGAGTCCCTTAATGTGAAAACTACTTATTTGCAGACAATGTTTAAGCAGAAAATATTAATGAAAATTTATATAACATTCTCTGTTTGGGCCTTCTCTATTCATTAACATTCTCTACTCTGGTTCCGCACCTTTCCACAATTCATTCCCACTTGATATCGAAAATTGGAATGATAAGACCTGCGTACGTTCTCTGCTTGAACTGCCATAAGTTCCACGTGTTTGGTTCTTGTCTGTGCTAAAACTACCTTATCGTTTATTGCATTTAACTGGTTTGTGACTTGGTTAAAATGTTGCTTCGCTAAGTGGAACATGTTGCCAGTATCAAACGGATATCTATTGTATAAGTTAGTAATAAATTTTATTTGGCTGACGAATTGAAAATATTATATAACTGCGATAGATAATGATCCAGTCGTTAAATTATATTTCGATATTAGACGCTATCAATAAATGTATGTATATATATATATAATTATAACTAAAATTATGATTTAATGTCGTTGTAAAACGTGAAAGTACGGCCAACTAATTAACATTCTAATTGATATCAAATATATAAACGTTATTCTTTAAGATCAGATGGCTAAAGCATTTTAATATCAAATTTGAATACCACACATAAAGCATATTTGAATTACTGAACACATTTTTGGCTGTTAGATTGCTTATGCGTGCTTTAAATAACAAGAGTCCAGTGATATTGCGGAAAATCAAGTTCAGATAGACCAATATTTTTATATTATAACCATGTCAAAGTATTGCTTAGAATTAGTTTCCGCAACTCCAGACAAGTTCAGCCTTTTATATAACTCATTCTGCAAATTTCCACACTTGCCACGGAAAAATGCTTCTCAATTCATTTATCTGACAGCAAATTTACTATATCTCGTGGCCTCCATATGCTGATTTGTCAAGTTTTATTTTTTTTTTTTAAAGTTGTCATCTAAATTGATTGTTGTTTCAGAAAGTGTTAGTAAATTACTGGACAGTAAAAATATGAAAACAAAATAGTCCATAATGTAATTATTTATCTTTTTAAGAATTTTTGGAAAAAAAATTTTTGGTAAGTAAACAAATGCTGCAGTCAACGAAATACTTTTATATAGATATGTGTGTATGAATGTAAGCAAATATTTAAAGCCAATGAACATTAGTTGAAACATTTTATGCGTAAAGCTGGCGAAAGCAATCAGCGGCCAATTACTTCAATCACAAAGCGATTTATGCGTAAAATTTTACGCTTTGAACAGTCAATAAGTCCAGACAGACAGACACTATGGCAGTTGGCTAGTGGGGCAGCCGCAAAGCTGCGGTAAATCGACTGTGTGGGTGTGTGCCTGTGAGTGTTTGTTTGCCACATGTGCCAATACCAAGCAGCATAGTCACCGCCACCTTTGGATTGGTCATGTTTGACCGCGAGTTCGCCATATTAATTTGCAACAACAATGCGTTGTCGATGTTGGTGCTGCCGTCGCACGCACGAAGGCCGCATGTTGCAATTGTGGTAGTGGCTAATGTCCCCGCAAAAACTGTTGGTGGACCACAAGCCATTTATATCACATTGGAGTACTTACGAAGTGCTCCTCTGTAGTTAAGTATCTACATTAGCTTATTTCTACTCGATGCTTGTTCAAGTTTTAATGTTTAATGAATAGAAGCGGAAGAAATTTGCGATGACACAGAAACAATTCCTTGCTTTTTTATGGCTCTCATGGGCTCTGCATGAAGTTTGCAGAAAAACATCGTTGGGGTCATATCGGGCATGAAAACTTGGAGATCCTTACCCTTATCCTAATACATATAAACGCAGAAAAAATGGTTCCATTTGGCGAACAAAAATTGTTTTTCCACCATAATATCGCATCGGCTCACACCTGCGTCTTCGCCAAATCCTATTTGAACGGACTAGGCTACCAACTGCACCGTATACTCTAAAATTTGGCGTGGTGCGACCTTTTTTGTTGGAGTTTAGGTCTAATGAGTAGTTTATATTTTTCTTTTGTAGGCTCAGTATTTATCATATTTCATTTCCTCGTGTTTTATATTCATGGTAGCTAGTTTGGGAGTACTTTCTGATCCATGTGGAGGACATTTTACAGCTTGCAGAAAGTACTAGTGATTTGTGCAGGGTCAGTGTTGTGGTCAACGAGTCCCAGCACATATCATCTGCATGGTTATGCTATGTATCTAAGTACAGCACTACGCTATCAAAGTGTTTGCTCTGCGTTTCATTTCTCGTTTAGTGTTTTTAATGCGCCTTTGTTAAGCTTATGACAGCAGCGGGTTAAGTACAGGTTAATGGTGGCACGCATAAATTCCAGCTCTTCGACATTTTTTGTTCAAAAGTAAACAGCGTTAAAATTGCATTTATATCTCGATGAATATACTTTTTACGTGAACAAACTCATAAAATTCTTTGCAAGAAAAAAGTTATCAAAATACTGCAAATATTTAATTTGGTGCGATATTTAGCACGAATAAAGTAAGGCTTGCACCACCAATTTTGAGTGCAATTCACCAAATATTTTCTTGAATTCGATGGAATCGTTTCTACTTGCTGCTAGGTGCAGCTCGTCTTCATTGCTGTGAGTAATCGCTGCGTGTGCACTCTTAATTTTAGGGCGCAGCGCAGCACGTTTCAACAGACACGCCTTCACTTTGGCGCACACCTTAATATTGTCAGTTCAACAGACTTTCCGAAGCGCCAAAGATGCACTAAGTCGCAAGCAAACAAAGGGTTAGACTTTTTGATTGTTACTACTCATTTGTCGAATGTGTTTGAACCGGTCCGAAAGGGCTGTGTGGTAGTTGACCAGTGCGAAAAAATCCTTTAAATTTTTATTATACTTAATAATTTGTTATTTACTTATTTCAAATGATTGCCAGTCGTTTAGTTTCGAACTTTTGTAACCAAAAAAAAAATCGAAATTTCAAAATCAAAAGCATTTCTTTTAAAATTCAGAGTACGTGAATAAATAATGGACTGACTGAACCACAATAAAGGGGGAAACTGAGGTTATGCTAGGTGATAAAACAGAAATTTGCCCATTATAGTGCCAGATTTCAGAATTTTGAAACTGTATGCTAAGTTGAGTACTACACTCTTATTCCATTTAAAGTACCGAAATTTCATAAATACTTCCTTCATTAACTATTCAGGGTCGAACATAATTACTTTAAGCATAGCTATTCATAGGGGTGCAAGCTGTGGCAATTTAACATTTTTTGAGAGGAAAGGAACACATTCAAGGAATCTAAAATTTAGTTTTAACCCCGCCATAGAAATGTTTTATAAATGTCTGATAACAGTTTGAATAATTGTAATATTTTTTTTTAAAACAATTATTTGATACATTAGTATAAGGATTTCGGTGGTATTTCCAAAATAAAGTAGTAGAGAATCGCTTGTCGAGAGTGGATTTATACTATCATCTCTTAAGCCACACAAACTAATGCGATTGCTGTTTACTTACCTGAGTCGATATCAACAATCGAGCTATAATGGTTGTTGTAGTTTGCTGCCAGTCCAATGCACATTTGTAGCAAGTGCCTTTGGCAGCTTTTGATGCTGCAATCTTTCGACTCACTGCTCGGGGCTGGGCGGAAGCTGTTAAATGCTCAACAATAGATTGGTCTTAGGTTTTATCTAAACGTAAGGCGTATTGAAATTATGCTTCTAAGCGATAATTAAATAAATAAATCTTGTAAAACGTAAATAAAATTTTTTACGTTTTTGGAACCTTCGTTGTCTTAAACTCGACAATTAGTTTGGAATGATTTTAAAGACGTATCACCAGCATATTTCAAATTATTTAAGTTCCAGCTATTAAGTTATTACGGCAAATTTTTTTAAACTCACTTATTTATTATTATACTTGTATTTAAGAATAACCGCTCATCCTAATTATATTTGTACATATATAATTGTTATTTATGGAGTTACGACTATATATAATAACACTTCAAACGGTTATAATTGATGGAAGATGCGATGCTAATTAAACAAAGAAACCTAAACGCGAAGGCAAAGCTATCAAGCGTCAAGTGGCGTTTCGCAGTCAAAACAACAGAAAAGCTCAAAACACAGGTGATGAAAAACGAATATTTACATACGAACAACGATGCAGCAAAACGATTCCAATTTATAAACAATGCAGAAAAACTCGTTTTCGAGTAGCTACGTGTGTACGAATTTCAACAAGTGCTCCGACTCTTCAAATCTGGAAGCTACAACACGAAAGGTGTAAAAGAAATGTTAACAGCTTAATGAGACATACCTTGATGCTCAATTAGGAAACCCCGCAGGCGCCTCATTTACTGGCAACTTAAACTTCAAAATTTTAGCATGAACTTTAATTGTTGTCAAAATGTGATTATTAATTCTTTTTCAAAAATATAAAAATACACTTTAAGCCTCTAGTAGGGAATGTATATGAGAGAAGGTCACTAGAGCAGATAAAACCCGCTTGGTCTGATTGTGTATATTAATCTTTTCAAATAAGTTTAAGTGAAAAATTGTTTCGTTTTTACAATGTACCACATTTATTATTATTTTTAAACCAAGTAGAACAAAAGCCACACTTAAAGCTATCGACGTCAAAATCTCATTAGAAAACTATATATCAAACAGCGGGGAAGTTAAACGGCAGCCAGTACCTCGGTGACATCCAGAAGTATGAGAAAGACAAACCCGCTGCATCGTCATTCATTCACAATTACTCTTCATTATTTACTTCACAGCTCAGGCTTAACAAATTGGTGGCTGATTAAAAGCGGCATGAACACCGTTATTACAAACGCTGGCAAATGGATAAGATATGTTGAAAGCTTAGTAATTTGAAACAAATACATAACCGGAGACGAAAGCTGCAATCAAATTACTGACAAAAATGTATTCAAATTCCAAATTGCTGAGAGAGAAATTTTCATGGATTTCGTTGTGAAAAACCAATCGCATGTTTCAGGGATTCCGCAGAAATAGCTTTCTCTAGTTGTTGTCGTTTTCGCTATGCAATAAAATTCTATGTTGTTATGATCTATCATTACTTATTCGATGAAATCCAAAGTTTTCCACATGTGCACGCAACCATTACCCTACACAATAGTGTCAAAAACTCCTATAACTGTTGAAAGGTGGAAGCCACGGAAGCTTCACACGCAGTTCGACCCACTTCACCACCGCATTAGTTTGGAGTCCGATAGGACGAGTTTACCTCCATGGTCTGATCTTCTTCTTTTTCCTCTACGCTTGGCCATTCGCCTTGGCATATCCATCATGGCATGCCCTTGACCCTGAAACCCGTGGTACCAATAACTTTAGGGTAAATAACACTTAAATTTATTCGATTTTGAACACAAAGAATAAGCCGAACATCAAGTATTGCTGAACTTACGTCAATGAAAAGGAAAACAAATGTATTACTTGTTCTTTGCATTCTAAGAGTTTAGCACCGTTGAATAAATGCACATCTTTATTTTGCATCAAGATTAACATAAGTAAGTGTCGGTGCGAGTCGCGACTACGAGTTTTTTATTGACTTACACAAGTAAACTAAATTCAGTTCAACTCTGTCCCATGTCACAATAACAGCGGATTTTAAAAATGCGGAAAACGCTCATAAAAACAAATAAGAAGGGCTGAACTCTTGCACAGAAGACGGTTGAAAACTATCGTAATTTGAATTAAAGTGACTTCCGGGTCTTGGTACATGGATTTAAAATTGTCAAACCAAATTGTGTGGCGTCTATTCTCATTTTTCATTATTAAATCTTGCTCCTTTAGTATCCAAAATTATTATTTTAGAATCAACCGACCTGCTCTCACTATAAGGAACACTCCTCACTAAATTCATCATACTACTACTGCGGAAGGATATAGATCGATATCTCTAATTTTTGATACTAAATTACATGAAGCTTAAGAAAATATATCCTTTTAATTTCATTAAGATAACTTACACTCTGACTGAAATATGTCGTATAAAATCAGGTATTCTTTTATTCCATTAAGGTAAATTGTAAAATACGCGATTTCTATCTTCCCGAAAGATGTTGTAAACTTTCACCTCACACTTTCCAATTATCAAGTGACTCAAGCTTTTACATTTAATTAGTTACTGCGTTGCAGCATTACAGGTTTATTTGAAAAAAATTATTTTATAGGCGTGGTAATGATCATAGTAATTATACATAAACAACAATCTGTCCATAAAATCGATAGTTCTATGGTACAACCTATAAGCTCCACAAATGGTTTTCACCGAGTGAAAACAATTCAACACACATACACAAAATATAATACTTTTTGAAAAATATAAAGACTTACATACAGTCTTCAAATTACCCAATATGGCACTTCACGGAAAAAAATACCAAACCATTTATTTTCGAGAGATTGAGTTAAAAATTAAATAGAAATTTATCCGTTTACTTTACATTTTTTTTTTTTATTGTATAGCAAATTTTATTTTATATTTAAAAATTATGGACCGTAAATGACCTCCATTCTCGCATATGCGACACCTAATTAGGATGTTATTCATTGCGGTCTGAAGGGTTGAAGTTGGGATTGCCTCTATGATCGATTTATTGGACTGCTTTTTGGGTTTTGTCTTGTACACCTCTAGTTTGACATAACCCCATAAAAAAGTCTGGTGTAGCCAGGTCAGGTGACCTTAGGAGCCAGCGAAAGTGGAGTTTCTCGATATTAATTTGTTTTCAAATTTTCGTTGGAGCTCCGCAATAACCGTGCGGGTGCCCTTGACGGTTACTGTTACACCGTTTTCTTCTAAGAAGTATGGTCTAAGTATGAACAATACACCTTGATGAAACTGCGCACCACACAGTGATTCGTTCTGGGTAAAGTTCCGTTTCGTTGATTATTTGTTTGCTTATATTTCCGTTTAGATCAAAATAAGCCTCATCAGACATAAACTGGTAATTTATCAAGTTCTTCAGCCATTTCAATACTAGGATACGTTTAATAATAGGAATATCTAGGAAGCTTAACTGGCTTGTTATTTGAACTTTGTACGGAAACAAATATAAGTGATCATGAATTATCCATCTACTAACTCCAAGTTGCGCCGATAAGTTTCGAGTCGAAACTCTTTGATCTGCCTGAATTGACGATGCAACAACCGCAATTTTTTCTTGAACATGAACATACGATAAGATTCGGCAAACATGGCAACATCCATTCGGTATCCCAACCATTAGTTTTTTAAAAATTTAAATAATTACCTGCCAAATAAAAAAACAACCTAGGTCGATTGCTCACAATGAAAAAAAGTTATTTCGGTTAGTTTTTGTAGCACGATTCGTGATACCCTGTATTTCGATTTTGCGGGCTAATAATATAATTTGTCGAAAAAAGTTTTTTTACAGGGTGATGATTAAAAAAGAGAACCACATGCAGTATAGCACTTATCCTTGCACATGTGTATATGCGAATGTATGTTTATACGAGAAGGGAAACCTCTACCAATTAGGTCTCGATTTGGCTGCAATTAAGCGTTCATTATGATTAACACAAAGGGCATGAGAGCAACGAAAGCGGTGCTTTCCGGTTGCTTTTATTGCTTCCATTGTGGTGCGAGTACAAGTGGTTTTAGTTGTTGTACGTTCCACTATGCGCGAACTGTTATCGCAGAAATGTGCGATCAAAGCAAATTTGAAGCTAAAGAGCTCGTAAACCAAATCTCACCTATTTCCGTTAAGTACTCTACTTGTACATAATAACATGCATACATGACATAATCGAATTGCTAGGAAAGTTTGTTTGTTGTTTTCATTGTTACGACCTAATTGTTGTTACTGGTGCTTATTGGCTTTTTAGAGATTCGACTCTATTTCTGTTACAATTAGTCCCTAATTTTTGACAATTGTACACACATACATACGTATTATGTACTATAACCTTATATGCCATTTTAATAGAAACTTTGGATATATCAAAACCTTGATTGGTGCAATTAACATTACCTCTCCTAAATAGTTCTTGTTTCGTATCATATATATATATAAGCGTTATTCTCCAGCGAATTGAACAAACTATTGTATACCAGAGGCTTAAGCAAACAGACGGCAGTAAAAGTTCTTCCACAAGTATAATATAATATCTGGAAAATTCTCGACTACAAATACAGAGAGAAGTTTAAAAAATTTGTTGGGCCAATACTGCTCTCTTCAATAATTATTTGATTCGATTATTTAATGGGATTATCTAAATATATCGATATTTAATTCGAATTTCCGGCAAAAGGAAATTCCTTCATTACCTATTGTTGTTAAAAATAAATATAAGAGCGGTAAAGTATAACAAGTATTTTTCCTTAACTCTCCTCAATTTTCCTATATATATATATATATATATATGTATAAATAGACATGTATACAAATGATGGTATGATTTTGATATGATTTTATAATAACTGCTGGGTCTCAGCGAAAATTCCGTTACACAAACCTTTCGCGGCTTCTTCTTTGACTGTAGGCCTCACGTTGAGTCAAACACACCTACTTTTTGTTTTAGTTTAAAAGTGTCTTTTCTGTTCAATTAATTCAATGCATAATCAGATGTACCCAGGTGATGTATACGACATTAATTAGAATCACAAAAATAAAAGCGAAACAAGAGTATAAACGAAGCACCATCTTACTGTGAGATTGGAGTATTTACGCGCCCAAAACTCTCACGTTTTCTACTTTTTTCTTTCCATTTCGTGAAAAAAGTGCAGTACAGCGTCAGCAAAATAAAATACGTGATAAGAATTAAAAATAAACAGTAACAACACTTTAATAGTATGATTTTTATATAATATACTATTTGAAGACAAGGGTTTACTAAAATGTACGAGAAGCTTCCGATAAATAATTGCCCTACAAAAGTAGTTGTTGGAAAACATTTTAGCTTGATACGCTTAACACAGATATACCTCTACTTCCCCAACTCATCTGAAAAAGCGGTGCAGTAATTTGTTACACGAGTAAATTGTTACACGAAAGGACGCAGAAACTTCTTCCAATTGTATTTAAGCAGCGTAACACTCTGCTGTGAAGTAGTCTCATGGTAGCATTTGTTGTCCGCATCATGCTCAATATTTCATGCAGGTTATGATGCAAACAGTTTTGAGATGCTTACTGTCTCATTTATCTCACCTTCATTAAGCGGACTGACAATGCGAGATCGTGGACTTTGCTAAGTTATCCTCCCTAGTAGCTAGTTTCGGGTACCTGGAACGATGTGCGATCACTTTGAAACTCATTGAAACAATTTGTAACGTTTGCAACCGAAGGAGATTTCGCTGCAGCACTTTCTTTCAAAAACAAGAGTCGGATAATCAACGATATTGCTCTTATACCTTGTGATACCTGGCATTTCTCAACAATTTCACACATTTGTAATCAATTTTATTAATTTCCTTCGCTCATTTGCTGAAATATTTGCTGATATCTTTTGTTTTTGAGTAACACCGCCCCATTTACGCCTTACCTTTCAATTTTGCTCTTTGAGAGCTCTCGGAGTTGTGAGAGCTTTCCCTGGTACCAAATACATACTAAATAGCCAACTAGACTCCAGTATCGCTCTGCATTTAACTGCAGAATGAATGTAAACAAAGCATTCATTTTACCGGCAAACATAAAAATAATCATGCATTCATTTTCGCTCTCGCGTTCATTTTCAATTGCCTCTCCCTCACAATCAGCACGTGCAGCCAAACCAGTTGTTTACCACACAAGATCTAAACGAAAAGGGGGTCTCTACAGATCCATACGAAAAAAATAGCACACAGACGAGGAAGACGGTCGGTGATGATCGCGAGCTGCGATATGTGATCAGGCGGGCTTCAGTTCCATGTAAACAAACGTGACGAGCGGTTGTGCGAATGAATTACGGTAGTGAGCATTCCGTTAATGAATATTTCGGTATACTTACGTAGTTGCGACCCCATTGACTTGAGCGAAAGTGATTTCAAATAAAAAAATATATACATATATTTATTTTCAATTTGCAGTTTTTCAATTCATGTTTATATGTACATATATTTATGT